GGTCTTCAGGATTATCGATTACTTTTATCGATTTTATCGATTTTTTTGCAAAGTTTGAGCTACGGGGCTGGGAGTTGGCACAGGGGGTAATCGAGCATGGGGATCCCGAATATGATGATCACGCTGATTACCCCCCTTGGGGATGATCAGCATGCTCGATTACCCCCCTGTGCCAACTCCCAGCCCCCTCTCAAACTTTGCAAAAAATCGATAAAATCGATAAAAGTAATGGACGATCTTGAAAACTAATATTGTGTTCGTAATCAGCATGCTCGATTACCCCCCTGTGCAATATCCCAGCCTCGCATGTCAAAATTTACAAAAAATTGATAAAATCGATAAAAGTAATCGATAATTCTGAAAACTAATATTGTATTCGGAATCCCCATGCTCACTTCCCCCCCTGTGCCAACTCCTAGCCCTGTAGGTGAACTCTGCAAAAAAATCGATAAAAATCGGTAAAATCGACATCGATCGATAACGAAAAGTGGACTGTGACACCCGCCGGGGCCCGAAGTGTATGTGTGCCAAGTTTGGTCCGGATACGGCGGAGCCGGGTAAGCCAGCTAGTACCCCATATTTTGAAGTTTCCTGCACTTGTTGAAAGAAATGCAAGACACCACTGGTACAGAAAGAGCATAAGAAACAAAAATAGTATACGCAGCACAAAAATGAAAGTCGATATCAGTCTTGTAGAAGCATAGTGCGCCGAACGCTTTTTTGACTGATTTGTAATTATAAAAACATCTAAGTCAGAGCTTTGTCGTTTAACGTTGTAGCCTCTAAAATTCAAACTTCCATGTGAGGCTATGATCTCAAAGTCTAAGATTCCCACTTTGAGCCAGATAAAGATAAAAAGTGGGAGCTTTATTTTTATAACTCGAAATGGCTCCGGACCAAGTGGGCTCCAAAACTGTCTGCTTTGTTGGAAATCAAAGTTTTATCTAGCTTATAGGAATAAAAGATAAGGAATCAATAAATGTGCTGCTCAGCGCTTGAAGAATGATGTAATCGTCCAGTTGCAAACTTGTTCGCAAACTCACCATAGGGTTGACATGCTTTGAGCCTCACACTCAGCTTTTACCGTCCGCAATGTTTTGTGATGAGGTAGGTGCATCGTTAGTATGATGATATAACAGTGCTAGATTTTTGATTTCTTCGCGAAGCTATTTTCGAAGCTTCGGGGCTAAAACGCAAGTGAACGCACTTGCGTTAATTTGCTCATTCATTTTCGATGCCAAGTGAGTGGTGGGAACAAAGTGGTATGTTCGAATTTTTCTAACAAATCATAAGATGTTGTACATCACATACAAAATCAAGTTAAGCTTACAACACCACAGAACCTTGCAAACGCAATAAATCGTGTTCTAAGGCAAAAAAGTGTGCACAACCTTATGATGAGTTTGAGACTCAGTTGGCAACTGGGACGATTACATCAGTATTTTTGTGCGCTAAGCAACCAATTTATCGTTTACTTTTATCTTTATAAGCTGGATAAAGCTTCGAAATTCCAAGCAGAAATTGTGGAGCCGATTTGGTCCGGACCCACTTCGGGCAATGAGTAGAGTGATGTTCTTTTTTTTGGTTAGGTTCGCGCGTAATGGCATCTCAGATTTTGAGATTGTAGCCTTATACAAAAGTTTGGATGTTAAGGGTTGCAGCATTAAGCGGAAAAAAAATTTAATTGAGGTGTTCGTATGTTATTGATCGGTCACAAGACGTTTGGCGCACTATGCTTCTCCAAGGTTGATATCGACTTTCTTTGCTGCGTATACTATTTTTTTACGCTTTTTTATATAGTACCAGTATTTCTTGCATTTTCTCCAAAAAATGCGGAAAACTTTGAAATATGAGGTGTTCCTGTAGTCATGAAGCAATCTTTAGTTGCTGACGAGGATGACAGTCAAATTAAAAAAACACCTGAAAAATTTACGGATATGATTTATCCATGTTGTATATACAGATGCGGCCAGATTTTCGACGTGCGGGGAAAAAAAGAAGAGTTTGTTGAATTACTGTTAATAAAGAAAAGAACTCTGTGATTCTTAAATCGCTCAGCAAAGTTGATTATCACCGTGAAACCAACACACAACCCGGTGGCACACTTAAAGGATAAGGCAAACTTTATGCTTTCACATCGCTCTGATAAGACTAGGGTCGGTATGTATCTCCTGTTCGGAAAGGTGTTCTCGCACAAGTCATAATTCACTCAGACGCGTTCGCCCAAGCCGGTGATGTGCGAACGTGGGGGCCTGACTGTGCGAGAGTCTGGTCAGATCCGGTCAGACAGAATCGGGTAGGTCTGCAGTTACCCGATCTTGTTTGTGTATAAATTGTGTGATGTGAAAAAGCGCGTCTCTTTGGTTGTGGCCGCAATCGCTATCAAATCGAATGATTCAATCACTAGTCATCGATTAAGATTCTATAATTGTTATATGCAAAAGATTCGTCTGATGCAACGCTTTACCTAATTTTGCTTGCAAGCGATTTCGCAAGTCTGGACCAGGGTCAAGCAAGGGGTGTGGCACACGATCGCTGGTTACGACCCCCCCCCCTGAACTATATACCTAAGATAGCATTACCAGAATTGAGAAAGAGGTCAGGCACAAGTCTTTCGAACCCCCCCCCCCTCCCATGAAAGCCCTCAAACGACCCCTTCTTCCTCCTCTTAACCTCTGGACCTCAAAGTGTGACATTCTGGAAGACACCATCTTTTTCTAGAGAGCTTTCGGATTTCTGAGAGCTGTACGTCCGATTTTCTGTGACTGCACTTTACATCACACGTAATTTGACGGCTGATTTTGATCTGAATGGGCATATTGAAAGGGCCATAATTTTCTTAAGGGTGGGGCGTTCGGCTCCAAATTTCCAACGTAGCAAGAAGCTATGTGCTCAATACTCATACCAGCAATAGAGCGCTTTCTGGATTTTGAAGGCAAGTCAAGGGGGTGCGGCACACCCCCTTAAAAGCTGCGGCAGTCGCAGCTTTTAAGGGGGTATGCCGCACCCCATTAACTATATCAAAAAACATTTTTAGCGGACAGTATTTATATGAATCGATAGCCTAAACCTTGCAGATTCCATAGGACTGTTGGAACCTGATTTGTCTTCTTAGTTCTAAGTAATATTTGGTGAAAGCACAGCGATCAAAAGCGAAAAATGGGAAAAACGAGATTTTGGTTGGCTTCTAATTCCACAGTTTGCAGGTCTTCTGAAGCGGGATTCCTGAGGTGGACAAAGAAGGAGTAGTGCTTTGTCTCGAGTGCAAAAATGGATGGCTGATTCACCTTTGAAACAAAGTTAAGCATGTTGGAATTTGACCATTTCATTTAGTAGCCTAATATCTTGAATCTTCAGAATTCGCTCACACTTTGTCTACAGGGGTTAATTGACATGCTAATTATGGATATGATACGAATATCATGTTATCACTATTATCAGACTACCCAACTACGACCCCCTCCCCTTTTGACTTCTCAATACGATCCCCCAGGTGTGACGTGCCGCACCCCACGCTTGACTCTGGTCTGGACTGTAAAAATCGAGCTTTGAAACTCTCATAAATTTTATAATTGGATCGATCAAATCAAATTTGAAATCAGACAAATCTCTTGCAACCAACGATTACTGAATTTTATCGAATAACTAGTGATAAAATCGTTCGATGCTAACGTTCTCGGCCATCCAATCAAAGAAACGTGCTTTTTCACACAATTCATACACAAACAAGATCGGCTAGGTGTCTAGGCATTGCAGACCTACCCGATCCTGCCTGACCGGCGCCTGTCTGGCTCTTGCATGGTCAGACGCCCACGTTCCCGCAGCACCGGCCTTGCGCATCCGCATCTGCGTGGATTACGACTTTGCAAAACCCACCCGAACGGAGATTGATACATATCGCCGCAGTATTTGCCGACTTCTTTGAAAAAATGGAAACTCTTGAACTTCGCCTGACAATGATAGTGAGAGATCTCAATGTTTTCATAATACTTGACCACTGCACAACAAAATGGGCATGCACTTTTAGTTAATGCAATGCTTCCCATTTACTTTGACCCCATCTTTCCTACACTGCTTCGGCCTTTTACTTCCGAGCATCGCTATCCATGTCGCTCAATTAACAAAATTCATATCCTTTCAGCTTACAGAAAACCTTGACTATAACCCTCGATTGCTCGCGTTACTTTTCTGTAGTGTTTTCTGTCGTGTTCCCTTACTGTTATGCCTGGACGGTCATAGACGTCTCGATTTAAGTGATTCTCAAAAGCGAATACGTGCAGGGCCTCTATGGAACGCCACTAAGTTCTTATGGTTTCCATTCATTTTATCCTTCTGCATGCCAGATTTTGATAGGACTACGGATGCTTTACTTCTAGGCTGCTTGCTGGCTGATACGTAATTTTTTAATCAACTGGAAGCATTTATATTGGGTGAATGCTGCCTTTGGCTTGCGTAATTCACTTCAGAACGGAACTGACGGCACTTAACGCTACGCACTTGAGCACTTGACATCGCGACATGTCACTAAACGTCCGTTTAACTTCGTGTACGGCGTGTGCCGAAGGCGCACCTTTAGTGCACCGGTGCCATTCTGGTTGGAAACCCCAACAAAACCGATTCACAGCCGTGCAGCCGCAGCCTTACATACATGCACGGACCGCAAGAAGCTCAGATGCTTCAAGATCCTCCACACCATGCCGGCCGGCCATTTATGAAGATGCGGTGTACGAGCGATTATGATAAGGTGCTTGAGAGCCTCGCAACGTTCGCACTCGCTTCGCACAATGGCTGACCGCCTGCGTCAGAATTCAACTTTTGTCACAGCTGTATGGTGCAAAGCAAACGAATTGTACTTCCCATTGTTCCGGAATGTTTCAACCTCGTTGCAAAGCCCTTGAATTATTAGAATAGTTTTTTGCGAGACTGCTTCAACGTGCAAAATTTTTTCTCATTTTCGTATGACATAAAAATTGTTTTTGATGCGGAACAGTGGATTTCAGCATGAGGCAGAGTCGTCTACCAGTGCTTCCACGGAACCAGGTGAAACTCATGAGATGATAACAGCAGCATCAACTGCAACAGTGACGGCAACAACGAGTGCCAGCGGATATGACCTGACAGCGACGATGACAACTGGACGTGCGTCTGTATAGTATAATTGCTATGTCTCACGATAATTACATAACATTTGCGACAAATATTCTTTTACAAACATAAGGTTCTTGACATTGTCAGTTTAATTAATAAATCTTGTGTGTTTACACGATTCGTTCGAGAGGCTTTTGTAAACAAATTATTAGTAGTTAGAGGAGCTTTGGTAAACAATTAGTCATCTGTACTCTTATAAGAAAAAAAATTACATGTATAAATATTCCATTGTGCAAAAACCATGACAACGACAGCTGTAATTAGAAACTGAGGAGCTTGAATGCTGCGTGCAGATATACTAGCCGTCTTTTTTCTTGTGAATTAGTTCGCCTGTGTGTACCTGCGCATTATAGGCCTTTTCGACTATGGTCTCACAAGTCAAATTCGCATGTTCTCAAGATTCCGTCTTTTAAACGCAGCATCCGGGCAAATTTGGACATTTTCGGATACTACCATATTTGAGTACTAGAAGTTCAATTTAGAACTATTGCACAAATCCGACTTTTGAACACCGCCTTGTACAAGGAGAAAATCGGCGCACAAGTGCCGAGCCTCGAGGACCACTCCCACTCCCCCGCACGGTTGCCTCCTTGAACGAAGTTCTCCTCAGCTTTCAAGTGTCACGTGTTAAACACAATGGAACACATGGTGTCCACCTGCCAATGCTTGCTTTCGACAAGGACTGCAGTAAGAGCACTCGTTCAAGCTTCTCACAAGATTGTCTCAGAAATGGGGTTTTTGAATGATCACGCATTTTGAATGCCATACTTGGATTATTTGGATTCAGCGCCGTGAAAAGTTCTAAATAAGCAAAGCAATAGAAGTCGAGATTCTGCGTGGACGTTGCGTATAAGGACCCCGCAAAAGCAAAGCGAACACCTTGCGCATTCTTATTTTAGCCGTCACCACAGTAGCACCATGCTGTGGGCACGGACTTCGTCGGAAGAACATCTTGTCTCCATACGACATTTCCTCGTGCCGGTCCCAACTCTATATGACAGCATCTTGCCTCTATGTTTCCGTGATCAGCATGCTGACTTATGCCCGCGCCACTCCGAACCCCGTAACTTTAACCGCAAAAAAAACGATAAAAATCGACATCTTTATCAATCTATAATATAAGGGAGCCTATGACACCTTGCTTCAAAGTTTAGGTGCGCAATGTTTGTCCGGATCGCATCAGTAATGAATCTTTTATTCCAACCTACATACAGAAACACATATAGGCTGGTGCACGACGAAGGCGCAACATCTTTGGCTGCGAACGCAGTTTTATTACCCGCAGAGCGCAGGAACGCAGGATGCCAGTGAGGATACGCGTGCGCCTCGTTCGCGCCCGCTCAACTAATACAGCTTCTGCGCCTTCGTTCTGCAATAACCTTTACATACATACATACATACATACATACATACATACATATTCTGCTACATATAGAAAAATCTACTACAATTCCTCCGTCCACGTAGCCTGCGAAGTCATTTGAAAATGAAGCCATTCACTGGGAACAGTCACCACTTGAGAACACCGATATTTTGGACAAGATTTGTGGTGAGTTGTACCACACGGTAGAAAAAAGTCTTTCCAGCCAAATATTTTCGAATAAGTTAGGAAGGAATGTCAGGCATCACTGATAGGTTGGATAATCGCTTCCGCTTCCTACGAGAAAGTTTCTCAGAGCTTGGACCAATGTTAGATGCTAACGGGGAGAAAAGGCAAGGATGCTTCATCGCAGCACTCTTGAAAATTCGCTTCGTCCTTTCAAACATTTAAATGAGTCCCAGCTTATTTTGTTCCGCGCCCATGCCTGACAGTGATTAGTTACCGAAGTTAAAAGTCTGCGGCGCTTTTTTTAGCTTTGCAAAAATATTGAGGCATTCCTGCCTCCTTTCGAGCTGCGGCATCTGAACGTTGTCATGGCTAAAACTAGCGGTATTTGAAAATAGCTTTCAACGTCAGATAATAAAGCCATATTATCACCTCATGTTTATAATTACACATTGCTGTATTGTGTAGAGCTGCCTGTGCCCATAGTAATGGAAGCTGCTCTTGTGCTTTTTTTGGGGTTCATTTGGTTGATTCCATTAAATAAAGCGCGGTTCATGATCATATGAGCACCCCCTATTTGAGAGTTTTGAAACTTTTCAAAAGGAACTCAAGAAACCGTTGGTACTGCGCGAAAGAGCATAGCGATTGTAACTAAACCAGAATTAAAAAAATGTGAATGCAGCAAGTATGATTGGTACCTTGTAAACAACCCAGAAAAACCAAAAAATGCATTTCGTAACATTCTCTGTGCTAAAAACAAAGTTTTGTGTGATTTTTCCTCACAAATAGAGACAACTTCCTAAATCAATATCTATCTAAATCAGGAATGAGTTGCAAAAGTTCAAGAAAGTTGTTAAAATTCATTGAAAACAAGAAATTAACTCTGTAATCTTATGCAGAGGATCGCGCACAAAATGCTAGCTTATCTAGTTAAGGAATGACTTTCGCCGCTTGCGACTGCGGGGTTTCGCTAAGAACCCGCGGAGAATTGTGACCACAGCCAAATGTCCGCCGGCTCTCCCTCTCCTGTGCTCGTCTGCATCTCCGCGCGTTGCGCGCTACCTCTCTACCCCAAACGCAGGGCGGGAGCATTTGGCACTGATAACTTTTCGTTCGTTGTTTTGAACCAGCGAACTGTATATTTACTGTATTAGACTGACACATAAGTTTTGCAACTTTTCCCATAACTTTCTTCCTATACAATGTAGCATTCTCCATTCACTGGCATCCAGTGGCGTATCCAGGATTTCTGCTCGAGGGGGGGGGGATTTTTCGGACAAAGGTACCTGGCGTTAGCCACGCGCTCCGAAAATTAATCTGGGATGCTTTCCAAAATTTTTGCGGCCCCTGACCCCAAAATTTTAGGAAAATAGGGCCAGGGGTCGCAAAAATTTTGGAAAGCAATTTTCGTTTCTTCACCTTTCGAAAAAAGGCCTTTTCAAGCGAAACGAGTCTCATTTCTGTGATCAGCATGTCAAATAGTCCCCATAGACCGAGTTTCAGCAAAATCTGATGCAATTTGAAGATTTTCCCATTATACCGAGAACCTACCGTAACCGTTACATAAGGTGGCAAAATTCGACAAAAATATCTGCATTTGCAGTTTACATCATATTTATTATACTGCCAGAAAATAAATGCGCTACGTCAGAAAAAAACAAAAGTCATATGAAAAAAATGCAATACTTATGTGCCAACCTAATAGCTTTTGATCTCTATTCCCACGCTGACAACGTCGCAACCTCATTTTTTGACTTGAACGAATCTAACAAAGACTGTGCTTTAGAAGAACTCTTGTTTTTTCTTCAAACTTTTTTTAGTGCATTCTATAGATTCTGCTTTTGTCTATGATGTAAACAAGTACGGAAGTAACTTGTTCTATTGTGATGAGATATTTGATAAAAGGCTATGCAGCTTGAAATCGCCAGCTATAACTGTATTACTTCTATGGATACCAAACCGGTCAAAACATCTAGATTGTTTTGTGTTATTCAGCCAGAACCGAGATTGTTATAGACTTTTATTGGCTTACGTTTCGGTCACCTCGCTGTCGTCAGAGCCTGAATGGGACGATATGCAATTCCCAGACTACTCAAAACAAAGCTTTTCAAACTGCAAGCAAATTCAAAAGTCAAAGAGTGTAGGTATCTATCTTTTCTCAAGCGATAGTCACCCTCTTCTGTCAAACTTCTGCAGTAGGAATACCGCCGTCTAGTATGAACGTAAATGTACAGTGAGTGACATTCTAGAAAATTTGTCTATGGTAGCAGCTCACGAGTGATAGCGAGACATTCTTCTTTACGATTCATTCGTGGATTTCGGGCGTGAATGTAATAAGCTTCCAGAGTCTTGCGAGCTGATGTTTTTGTTCATGCGCCAAGATTAGTACTTTGACTTCAAGATCGTTCCCTTCATGTTTCTGCACCTAATGGCGTTGAAAGTCGTAACTTCTCTTTACCATGAGGTGTTCCTTAACGCGATGGCCGAGCAGTTTCACCTATGTAATCACCACCGCATTCCACACACGTGATGAGATAGATTACTCTAGAGCTCATGCAGCTTCCATCTTTGATCGGGCAAATTACACAGTTCGAAGTGGTACAGTCTATCGTATATGCGGTTTCGAACCAGCATAAGTTTGAGTTATGTGGAGGGATGTCCACAATCACAACCAAAATCATTGCTCAGGTCCGTGTTCCTCAAACATTGCCGTATTGCTTTACTCACTTCATCGTTAGTAAACGGCTTAACAAAAGGAATCTTTTCTTTATCAGCCGAAGTCAACTTTTCGTGTGTTTTGCGATAGAGGTTGCGATGCGGCATGCTGTTGTTATAGCCATTAGAAGTCGCTATTTTGTGCGCGATGTTTTAACGATTCTCTTCTTTTCTCAGGATCAGTGCAAACTTTCGAGGCTGCGTCGAACATATGTTTTATGACAGCGTACTTCATATGTTGCGGATGGGCCGAATGGAAATGGATGAGAATATTTTTATGCTTGGCTTTCTAAACCATTTCGTTGTGTAAATGCCGTGGCGATGTTGACTTGGACGTTCAGAAACGGCAGCCACCCATGAGTTGGTTCCCGACTAAGCTTTATGTGTTCTGCTCAGATAATCGTGGGGGGCAGGCGGCCATGCAAATTTTGAGCAAGCGGGCACCGGAAAAATTGTTCGCCGATTGCGACCCGCTTGCAGAAATTCGGAGGAATGTTGGCCAATTTTCAGACGAATGCTCGGAGAACTACCGCGGATTCCTATAGATTAGTTGCGGCTCATTGGCCGCATTCTCGCGGACTTTCTGCGAGAATATGCAAAATTATCGAGGGCCGCGCGGTCCTTTGTGGAAGACAGCACAGCTCTCAGGTACTTTCCGCTAGGAGAAAGTACCTCAAACTTGAGTAATCGAAAAATCGATGACACCTCTGCAGCATAGAGTCTCACATTTGCTCGGCGTACGCC